TTTTTTTCCTGAGAGTTCCTAGTAGATCGGTGTCTAAAGTCCCGTATCACGATTCCCGGCGCTCGTGGGGATATTTATGGCCATGGGGTCACAAGCCATTGCTCTTGCCCGCATTATTATCCGACGAGCTTTATGTGTTCGATTGTGCAGACGTTTCGCTGGCTCGCCTCTCTTCACGCAAAATATATACACCTGTTGGAGTGCGGACCCTATTCCTGGCGTGGCGCTCTTTAATTCCCGTAATACACTTATCAAGAGGCCACTTTTACTTTATTTAGTATCTCTTCGTTTAGGGGTAATTATTAGGTAATGGCTTTGGCGTTATATAACTTTTAAAGGAATCCTAAATTTAAATTGTCATACTTAAAAAGTGTGTTTTGAATAAAGACTGAATTAAGACCAGGGCCAAGAATAGGATTGGAAATTATCAGACAAATGAGTCTATTTATTCTTATGCAAAATTGAAGCCATAGATTGGATTTGCTGGGTGGAGGGTAGCCACGTCTTGACTGCATGCCACAGTTGGCCCTTTGTATTACTTTCGAGAGGCTCCGAGATCTATTTTTTCTAGATTTATCAAACAATTTCGAGCCATCCGAGCTTCCAAAAGAAATCCAAAAAGACGGCGGGAGAGATAGATAGATGGGTTAAAGAACCCCATTGTTTACCTATGGTGGATTTTCAGAATTCGAGAAGAGAATATTTTGGAATTAATTTTGATGAAGTGAATCTACATCTCCCATCCAAAATATTCTGTTTTGTGAAAAAGTGGGCTACATTAAAGAAATGAATTTAAAGCTAATATGGTAATAAAATATTAAACATAATTAAATTTGTAAATGAAGAATCTTTTGACGATTACTTGTATATTTGCATTCAACTCATCAAAATTACCTAATAACTATTTTAAAGGGCAAAATTAAATGTATTTGATATTTCTTAAATGACGAAAAATATGAATAAGTTAGCAAGAATAAGGTTAACACAAGGACCAATTTCACCATAAGAAAATTTCCCAATGTACTTAGTAAAAATGTACAGGCATATTTTTATAAGGTAGTATGCAAATTTAAGACGATGTATATCTACAAGTAAACCAAAAGCGGCCTGAAAAATATCGAATGCAAATTACGCCGACCGGGACACTTCCAATTTTATATATTACATATTCCTTAAGCCGTATAATTAACCGCCATCCCAATTATTCACATAAAATATCGACTGCATAATAACACACCATGCGACTCTTTGTTTTTTATCGCGTACCGTTTAATGCAACCGCCTCTAGTCTTAAAAAGTCGCCCAATTTTCGACATTATCTGTAATAACGAAGCTGCCATTTTGCATTCGAGCAGGGACGAAATTGCTACAAAGTATCTTAATTAACCGGACTGGTTATGTACGATCATCCGCCCATCTATTTACCAACACCATGCTTACTGCGATAGCATCGGTTCGATGGCCACGAACCACCCGATCCAATTGCATTTTAACCGATTTAACTTATCAAAATAAGAAATCAAGAGTTAAATGAAAACGTAATTCATTTGAATCCAGCGGTATCCCAAAAAAGCTTAAAGAGTACTAGCACAATAAAATATAGTATTAAACGAGACGAATGTGAACTTTACCCTTTAAATAAGGTAAGAAAAATCTAAAATTGTTGTTATTATTCTATATAGTTCTTTGAGGATGGAACCAATAATTATCAATGCTATATAATGTCAATATAAACTACGCACCACTCAATGTGTCGCGACCAAAAAGTTTGTTCTTTTTGAAAACGACATAACTTTTTAGTTTCTTGAACTATTTTATTTTGGTCTGTGTAGTCTGCTAGCCTCATCCTCTGGCAATTCATGCTATAGATATAAAGCTCAAGGTTCTTCAAGTAAACATTGAGAAATTTCAATAACTTCATCCAAGTCCCGTTTGTAAAAAAATAATTTTTTTCTCATTTTTACATTGAAATAATGAAGTATTATGTCTTACCTTAAAACGTTTTTTAAATTTTTCGAATTGGAATCTTAGCAACGAAAATATGATTTTTTTTTTGAAAAGAGTATATTTAAGGCTTTTTTGTAGGCTATACACATTTAACAGCCGGGAATTGTTTTCTAATTTTGATTCTTGGTGATTTTGGTTTTATCTGAAACTTAAATTTGACAACTGAATCGAAGTCAGGAGGTCAAAATTATAAAGAAAACATGTCATGAACGTAAATATCGGTTCAGGTTTAGTTTTCTCAAATTTTCACCAAAATGTCATTTTGAAAAAGTGGTCTTTGCTTAGGCACCTCTGAAAATAATGGAAGTTTGTTGCTTGTCGCTTGTTCAGAATTATTCACGGAACAATCTTTTACCATTTTATCTCCTTGCTCTTAAAAAAATGAGTGAATTGCCTACCAAAATTCCTTAAATATACTCTTTTGTAAAAAATATCATATTTTTGTTGCCAAGATTCCAATTCGAAAAATTTGAAAAGCTTTTCAAGGTACGACATAATACTTCATTATTTCAAAGTAAAAACAAGAAAAAATATTTCTTTTTTCAAACGGGGCTTGGATGAAGTTATTGAAATTTTTCACCGTTTTACATATCACCCTGTACGAAGTTTACTTGAAGAACCGTGAGCTTTATATCTATAGCATGAATTGCTAGAGGATGGGGCTAGCAGAAATCACAGACCAAAATTAAATCGTTTTAGAAACAAAAAAGTTATGTCGTTTTGAAAAAAGACGAACTTTTTGGTCGCGACACATTGAGTGGTGCGCAGTTTATATATAATACAAATAATTGAATGATTTGAGTTAATATAATAACGGTATACCTGTGTGAAACGTGAAACTAAATTGTTTGTATTAGTTTAATCTTTGGGTTAAATAAACACTTATAAAAATAAATCAATTTATACAGTTACATCTAAATGTCATTCCCTTTGGTTAGTAGTTCCCAATTTTCACAAAAGACTTTTTTGCGTTCATAAAAATCTATTGTAGCAGCCCAATATTTTCTATTATGTATCTGTAATATCTAGATTTAATACACTCCGTTGCAATCAAGATTTTTCCCCATTGCGGCCGTAAATTATCTTCGGTGCAGCACGAAGGGATACATTTTTTATTGACTCGTTTGACCGCAAAGAACCATTATTACCTGAATATATCACATAGATCTTCTTTCTTGTAAACTGTCTCATCCAAAATGCCATCCCATTGTTAAAAGTCGATCTAATAAGGGGCACTACTTTACGATGTGTGGATTTTAGAATATATTTACACCCCATTTTAATTTGACACGCCAAAAGATTTATTCTATTATGGAACTTTACTTAACCTTTACGGTTTTCTCATATTCCTCTTAAAGAATAATTGTATGTGGTGGGTATGATTTTTATCTTAAATTGAGTTGTTGCAAAAAGTGCTACACACGCGCAATTAAAAAAGTTGCTTTGCGAACGGGATAATTACACAGTGTTTTGTTTCTGGAGGCACGAATATAAATTTCCATGAAAACACCCCACACTCAACTTGACACTACACCATATCTGCAAAATAAAACGATCGCGAATGGAGCGAGTCGAACCGCAAAAGATAATTATTGGTTGGCTTTGGAAGAGAAAAGAAGAAGTTAACAGCAACAATCTGGATAATAAATTTATTTGCTTTTTGCTCTTTCGTAAGCCGAGGCAATTGCATAAAGATTTATTGGGAATTAAATGTTATTATTGTTAAGACAACCTAATTTTCAAGAGGATATTTATTATCAGGTATACTTAAAAAGAATATTAGGTTTTAGAGTTCATAAAAACTGCATTTTATAGTTTTTCAATATTATGAAGCCATATTTTTAAACTACCAATTTATATTTCCTGTTTAATATAGGTACAGAAAAAATGGCATTACTTATTGTGTTTTTAATTGTTTTGGTACAATAGATGATGTTTTAAACAATCTTTGGCTAATCTTTCTTCTAACTTGGCTTAATTTGCTTTCAATAAGCGTTTTTTTAGATAACATGTAGCCGAGTTAGTGATACAAGCTGGTCTCAAAAGGACCGTAGCTGTGGCACCCGACTGATTTATGATCCCCTTGCTACCGACACTCGACATATACCCCTGTGTCTTACCGTCTTCCTTTTGATTTAGTGAATTATTAGCAGTTGAACACGCCGCAAAATAATCGTAAAATCGAAATCGCACTCAAAACAACCACTAAAATTATTTATTGGGCCTGAAATTTATGGGAGTGTAATCGGTAAGTTTATATTTAATATAGAAGTTTAAATGTATATAAAACATATGAATTTATCTTAAATATTATGAAATATCTTAAATATTACGTATTTTGTGTAAATAAGTAATCTCTATGATTATTTCATGCCTCGGTGAAATTAAATCAAACTTGAAATAATTGAAGCTGTAAATAATTGTAAAATTATAAATAGCTTAAAGTCTAATAATAATTATACAAGCTTATAGTTAAAACACTTTTATTGCCAGCGTTACGCAAATTACAATTTTCACGAATTTTACGAGCAATTTTATTAATATTTATTAGGCGTAACGCAAATTTATCGAGTGTTCGCTTATCAAACACCTATAACAATAGCAAAATTGTACAATGTATCATAAAGTTTATTTTAAGGATTTAATTATTTTTTGACAAATTAAGATATAAATTTTAACAGTATAATGTTTAATTTTTAATGGCCGTATTTATTTGGTTTTATAGCCGCGATTCGTCTAGGCCCTAAAAGAAATATATGGTTCTTGAGACACCAGGTGATGCGGCAAGATTAATGGTGTTTTAATAGTTTCGATTCTCTGGAGACTTAAGTCACCATTTAAAAATGATTTATATTTATTTAATTATATGGTGCACTGACGAGTTAACTGGCTTTGAATTTGCAAAGTATATTTATCGCGAGCATGATTAATTAATTTAAGAATATGTATGTGCATTCTTATTAGATCGTTTTTAATGAAAAATATCGACTTACTTTGTCCTAAATGAACTCGCTTCATCCACGGGTAAATTTGCGGTGGATTTCCAGACGATCCGCTCTTGGAATTATTGTTGTTTCCTGACTTTTCGTTGCTGGAGGTGGAACTTGTACTCGAAGCCGGTGAAGAGAGATTCTGCGAAGCCGTCGAGCTTCCAGTGGCCTGTTTTCCTGGTGGAGATGTGCTTACGGATAGCGGCGAAGTAAGTCCTGAACTTTTCGAAGTGATTGTTGCGTTACTGCCGCTATTTCCTGCACTCGCAAGTGGCGGTGTGCTCCTGTTTGGCGGGCCACTGGTGCTGAGATCCTGTGGAGATGCCACCCCCGTCGAAGAGGTGGAATCCGCGTATTTGCAACTAGTCGAAGGGTTTAACATGCCGGGGCTCTGTCCACCGGGACTTGCATGATGCATGTGGGTGTTGGGATTGAGTCTTTGGGGCTGGAGTTGAGTGTAGTCTCCCATAGTGGGTTGAATGCTGTGGCCCGAAGCCGGGGTGGCGTAAGGATGTGGAGGATATTGGGGACCGACTTGCGGCGGCGAGTAGCACGCCGGAGGATAACTTGCAGCGGCCGCGGCATTAGGGTTGTAGTAATCACTACCGGGAGCTGCTCCTTGGTGATTTTGCTCGGCACCAGGTCTGCCCTGTTGGCCGTAGCACTGGGCCAGAGAGTTGACGAATTGGTACGAACTCATCGCTAAAGTTCAATTAATCAGCTAGTTATAAGAAGTGCACTAGAAACACCAAGTACATGATCATATGCACTGAAGTCATAAATTTGGGCACTGTTAAAACACAACAAACACTAAGTCGTACTGGCACGTGCCAGGGGTCTATAAAACTGTCCGAAAATATTTACGATCTAGGTGCCCAGCAGCAGCAGGTATGAAGAAGGGACATGGTCGCGTTTGAAGAGTTCGGGAGCGTATCGTGTCCGTATCACGCGGAAACTTATTTGATAATGACTGACGGTCGCGTCGAGACGTTTGTTAACGGGGCGCCACAACCGTCCAATACCACGCGTTGATTGGGTTTAGTAAACTTGGATACGATTCCAACAAACAGTTGAACGTGCAGGACGACGAAATTGGCGGACAAAGACGGAGAATGCGGAGTCGTCGGATAGAACGAAGAGGTCCGATCAGGTGGGGGTAAGGCAGTGTCAGCGTGTAGAGTGGCGTTCGTCGGCGTGTTGGGGGCCTGCAGGCGCAGGCTCGGGGCGGGGCTACCGAGGGGTCAGGGGCGGTCTTATGCATTCGAATTGATAATTTGTGAATTGTTTAAGATTTGATGCTCAGCTGAACAGTGTATGTCTACCGTATTCCAGTAGCTGGCCCCGTAATGAATCACCCTAAACTGCTATTCGGGCATTAAGTTTCAACTTCTTCATGAAGTTGCTGACTGCTGACATGTGTTATAGGTGGAATTGTTTTTATTTATTTTCTGTTGCTCTTATTCCATTGCATTAAATTTCTTTATACGTTAATCCATTTTACAATAAGTTCACTCATTATGTATAAACGTATTAATATTTAATTTAATTTGTACTTCAAAAACAAATTATTTGTGCATTGCGTGTATGTTTGTATTAATTTTGGATTAAAGAGAGGTATGTTTATATTTTATTATAATATAAAAAAATAAATATTCTACTTAAATTAAGAATTAAAACGGAATATTTTTAACAAATTATGGAAAAAAGTTTAGAAATTTAAAAACGTAAGAAATTAATTTTATATAATATTTAAGTATTTTACTTGATAAAACTCCATGTTACTAATGTATAACTAGATAAAAACAACACTGTTTTGTGAGTTTCACGAATTTATTTCAATTTTATTTTTTATCACAGTAGTTTCTTGAGAAATAAGAAGCTAGTTATACATTAGTAATGTTTAAGTAATTTTATACTTCAAAGTTTTAGGTTCAACATTTATTAAAGGATATACTAATATCAAATAAAGTTCCTTTATATTCATTAAAAATAAAACCATTGAAAAATAGAAAATATTTTATTAAAAACGCTATAAAATTAATAATAATATTTTATAGCAAAAGCATTTCCTGATAAGTTGTTTTTTTTATTTTAAGAGATGAAATAATTTAAGTAAATATACTTTTTTAAATTGGTTTTGTGTGAGAGAAGTTTTTAATTAAAGTGAATTATTTAATAAATTTAATTTAATTTTTTTTAGTTACTTATATAAGTTGGGTTTAATGCTAAAAACTTGCTTTTTTAAACAATTTTTGAAAAGTTAAATTTCAGTTGAAATTTTACCTATTTGATTTTTAAAGCAATATTGTGCACGATCTGAGAAAAATTAGATGAGTTGAAAATCACAACTTCTCAGAAAAGCACTTTAAATTTGTTTATTGTCAGTGTAAACTGAGTTTTGTCATTATGTTTTTCCAGCAATTTGTTTAATTCTTTAGGTATTGACATCTCGATCACAAAGTACTTTTACACTATGCCACCAAAATCGGTTGCCCAGACGACCCATCTATTTTGGAAAAATCGATTTATCTAGTTTTTTCAAACAGTGCACAAATATGCGCACTCTAGAGTTATGTATATATAACTAACATATACTATGTAAAATAAAGCTTTCAAAACTTTCATCTGAAAAATTCAATTGTCTTGTCCAAAAAATGCAGAATTTTATTTTATGCAATACAAGAGCTTTTATTATTTAAATAGTTTTTATACTTTTACCTTTAAAACGCCTATTATCGTACATGTTTCCATGACACTAAGACACTAAGTGACCTTTTAAATACACAAGTTAGTTTAAAGTTATAAAATGTTATAGAATCGTTGAAATAAAGTGCCCTTCTTGTAAAATAACACTAGTAAAAATTATTTTATTATTTGAAAACAAAAATACAAAATTATTAAATAATTTTTCAACGCCAATATTTGAAATATTTATATGAACACTGTGCTGACCTTTTAATTTCACCGGCAGTAAACTATAACTCCACCGTGGAGTGCCAATAAAACATTTTCTTTACTTTCACTGTGAAAAACTGCTTTATCGGATTAAGCGATCCATTTTCAAGGGATACATTTTGATTTACCCATAAAAATTTGAATTTTGCCATTATTACACATTTCCAAGTAGGTTACTTTATTGTTTTATGGATATCGCTCTATACAAATATTTAATTTAAATCAATTTTATATAATAATAAGTATTTGTCGTAGAAAAAGTAAAGTATGCACCTCGTTTATAAACTTTTCTATACACTCATTTAATTAAGCACTCGCTCATAAGCTCGCTTGTGCCTTAAATGGCTTTTATCAAATTTAAGTCAATTGATCCATAATAGCGAGCATAATAGTCTATTATTTTATAGATATTTAAGTAAAATCAGTGTTATTGTTATTAAAAAATTATCATAAAAACCTTGTTTAAACGAATTATAGTTTTCTAGTGCATTTAAACTAAACAATATTAAATATCTAATATTATTATTCTAAACCCAATACATAGTCTATTTTCAAGGTTTAAAAATTAAATTTGCGTAACATTGCATGCCTAAACGATGTGCCACGTTTCGATTTCAACCCATTACGACTTTCCAAGAAAAAATTAAACCCCATTTGTCCATTTTGGACCTGACTATTGTTAACCAGTTAAGTCAGTTTATGCAGATTATGTTGCAAATAATTAAGAATAATAACAAGGACCAGCAGGACATTTAGATCTAAAGAAGTTGACCTTGTTTTAATTGTGCATATTTTTCTATTGAGAACATTTTGCAAGACCTTCAAGCTGGCAGAGTAAAAAATGATGCCAGACGTAAATATCCACTTTTAAAATTGGTTTAAGGAAATAATATTAAATGAATAAAAATTATAATAAAATTCATAAATATAATGTTTATTTTAATTTTAATTATTCTTGTAGTATTAAAAATTAAAGGTATGGAAGACTAGTTTTAACTCTATTCTTGTAATTTCTCAATTTTATATTAAAATACACATGCTTACATGCACGTTATCTAATATATGCTAATAAATGGTAGGTACACATTTAAGATTTCTATTCAAATAGAAATAGCAACGTTTTGTAAATATATTTTTGATTTAAATTATAAGTTTATTATACACGTTTTAGTCAAGGGGTGTATTCATTTTTAAGGAAACCTATTTTTATATAAAATTACTAATAAAAGTATATTGTGCGGCTAGTGGGAGAAAGAGGAGATTCCTCGAGCGTGGAGTAAAAGTGAGTGAAATTTTCTATTTTGACCAATAGTCGAACAAAATATTTACCGCCAGGAATTTAAAGCCAATTCTTTTTGATAAATTATTGACAACGGTCAAACCGTTCTAACCTCACTTTTTTCAAATTTTAACCTAAAGTTAAGTTCAGCCCGTGGGCGAAGTTAATTAGGGAATTCATTATTTTGTCCACCCTTAGTAGGGCCACGGAATAACATATTTCTTGTGGGTTTTGAATAATAGTATATTGTGCGACAAGTGGGAGAAAGAAGAAATTCCTCGAGCTAGAAATTTGTAACACACGAGTGGAATCTTATTTTTTGACCTATAGTCGTAAACACTATTTTATTCAACTACCTCGAGGAATTTAAAGCCAATTTTATTAATGTTTTATCTGACAACAGTTAAACTAAAATTTTCCAATTTTAACTTTCAACCTGTGCGCAAAATGCTATTTTGCCCACTAGTGAAGTTAAAAAATGAATAATCAGGAAATTAATTATTTTGACCACCAGGGCAAAATTCTTGGCAAAAACTTAAGATATAATAAAATTAAAAGTTTACCTAAATGGTAAAAACATCTTTAATCCCACACTCACTTGGAATTGAGACATACCGTATAATTTATACGTTTAAAAAAAATGAATAATGTAAGCTATTGTTAAACTAGTTGTACAATGAGAAAGAAGACAATAATTTAAAACAATAAATTACAGCTATTTTTTACACATACATATATGATACAATTTAGTTATGTCATAGGTACTTACTTTAATACGATTTTTAAAATAATTAGATGTAAATTTAAGTCATATAGGAATATACAGTGTGTCATACTGTCAAGACGCCTATTAAAATTTGCATTTTTAAACCGATTTAAAAAAAAAAATTTGGAAAGATTTCTGAAAAAGCCTTAAAAGCATATATTATGTAGTGACATGTTTTGACGACAAAACTCTTGGCCAACTGTGATCCCTTCTTGGGGTCAAAATTTTGAAAACTACTATAAGGGATTTTTTCATAGCAGAAGTTACCACTTGTTCTTATTTAGGACCACTTAAACCTTGAGTTTAGTAGTCAAAGAACTTTCCAATATAAAAAAGGTTATAGAAATCCGTTAAAAAATGCAAATTCTACGCGGGTTGGGTGGAAATAATTTAAATGGGAGAAATTGAGGTTACATTTTCCCCTTCTCGTTCAACAATATACTATTTCATAATATATACGATTTAACAAAAAAATATTGATTGGAACTCTAAAACAAATATAGTATAAGTCGAAGGTGACTTAAATTATTATTCCTTAATTTTGTTATTTGAATTCTAAAGTAAGTATATAGGTAAGTTTGTTAAAATTATCCAATTTACTCCAAAAAAGTTTAGATAATATTTATAAAGGGTGTGATAGAAATTTTGATCAAAAGAGCTCTGACACCACTGACAAAGTTAAATAGAAAAGTTGTAGAAAATCGAGCTATACACTATATTAGAGCAAGTTTTTATGTTATATATCAAATACAATGTTTAAACAATTAATAACGTTATAATAAATAACCGAACATTTACTTTATTTGGTCAAATACTATTTGTTTTATGGCCGTATGCACAAAACTTTTTTTTCAATGATTAGTTAGTCATCATTTTTAGACACATGGCAACGCTGGAAGTTTATAATTTTAGTTATATTAGTAGTATATCAGCAAATCTTTAATTCTAATAAACAATTGGATTGTAAAAATATTACTTAGACTGCAAAAAAGAAAACATAATTTTAATATTTGTGTAGTTTTATAATACATCAGGATTATTAAACCC